CGCACGCCCCAGCTTTGGGAGGAAGGGGGAAGCCATCGGCAGAGAGCGGGGGGCACCTGCCCCCTCCCGCGCCGCCCCGCGCCCTCACTTATTTCTCTCCCCAACCCCTTTTTGCCTTGGGTTGGGTTTTTCCAGCTCACGCCTCCGCCCCCCCCACCCCCAGGAATAGCTCAAATTCCCATCTTTTGCCCAAAAAGCTGAGCCCCCCTGGCTGCTTCCCTTGCCAGGTTGTGGGTTTGCTGCCGCTAATTCTTCCACGGGGCGGGCAGAGGAGGAACCACGGCTCCCCCGCGCGCTGGAGCGAGCGGAGGTACCAGGTACGGGCGAGTGGATCAGTCCGGGATATTAAAAATACTTTTCTTTTATAACCCTACCAGGGCTGGAGAGCAGAGCCAGAGGAGGAAACCGGTGGGGTTTGGGCCAGCCCCGACGTGAGGATGAAAGCTCTGCTGACCAAACTGCCCACGTTTGGGTTTTTTTTCTCCTTCTCGCTGTTCCTAAGGATAACGGTTCCCAGGCGCTGAGCGCAGCGGCGCTGCTGGCGCAGCTCTGGGTTCGCTGTCCCAGGGATGCGGCTCTCCAGGGGGGGTTGGTCCCTTCCAGCGCTTCCTTTCTTCTTCTTCTTCTTTCTTCTCCCTCCGCATTTTAAGCAGCGGTAAGAAAACGTTCACGAGTCCGTTCCGACGCACGGGGCAGCCCGGCTGCAACGATCCTCGAGGCTGGGCCCCAAAAATGGCCGAGGGAGGGGGTTCGCCGGTGCCCCGACCAAACCGGCTCGGCGTCCCGCTTCGAGAAGCACCAGCCCCTCGCGCTGCCTCAGCACCCGGGAATGTTGGAAACCCTGGAGTTTTCCGCAGAGCAGAAATCCCATTTTTTGAGCCAGCGCCGAGGAGCCAGGCAGGCGTTTGGGGTGACGCACGGCGATTTGGGTTCCGAGGGCTTAGCCCAGGGCCCTTTGCACCACCCCTGCGACGGAGCCAAGCCCTCACCGTGCCGAACGCGAGCTGATGGGCACCAAAAAG